GGCCATCTCATGATTGAGCCGGAAGTTCCAAGACAAGGGGGGAATGAAAGGGCGAGGGCTACACCTTCCATCTTGCCCCAGGGTAAGAGCTACGCCCTCCATTTTACCTTGGCCATGTGCTAGGCAAGGCTTCTTCCCAGAAGCCCAAGCCTCTGCTAGCCACACCCAAGACTGCTTTAAACTAACCAATGACAATCAAGGGAAGTCTCCATAGATATGACCACATCCTGTGTAACAAGACACCAACTTGCGCCTGGCCAATCGGCATGGCCCACGGCCCTTTCTCCTTACTCCAATCCCCCTATAAAACCTCTCTCTACACAGAGTTCCCTCTCTCGGCCACTTGGCTTGCCGTTGCGTCAGTGAGTGTGGTCGGGGAGCTGAACTAGTTCGAATAAAGACTCTTTGCTTTTGAAAAAAAAAAAGTCTATGTGTTTAGAAATTTAATACTGCTCATCATAGAATCTTAAAATGTTATATTTTTAGAAATTTATATTTCTACATACTAGAACCTTAGCACTTGGAAACTTAGAATTATATACCCTTTTATTGCCCTGCAATTTTCAAATTTTCCAGGGCATTCTGCTTTCTACTCCTCCCATTCTCCCTATTGTTCCTTCACTCCAACCACTGGCCTCCTTCTTGCTGCTCCTCTAATACAGCACACATGCTCCTACTTCAGGATGTTTGCTCTAGCTAAATCCTCTGCCTGGAACATCCTTTCCCAACACTCAGTCACTTTACCCACCTATTGTCTTTTCAAAAAGTCCTTTCCTGAGCACAGAAGGAAATACCGAGAAAAACAAAAAACATTTGCTGCTCTCCTCCCTTTCAGGAAAAAAATAAGGCCTACACAGAATTCAACCTTAAGAACCTGATCATCACCACTCTCAACCTACTCTTTGCTGCCACAGACTCAGTGAGCGGCACCCTCTACTATGGATTCCTGCTCCTAATGAAGCATCCTGAGGTGGAAGGTGAGGGTCCCCTGGATTTTCTCTCCTGATATCTCCCCGTCCCAACAGGAAGGAAGACATACTCTTAAAAACTTAGAAACACACTACCTGAGATGTTTTGAACCACAAGATATAATGAATATGGAATCTCACATTCTCTGCACAAGAAGGCTATTCAATATAACATACTTGGTGTCTGATTCAAATAAAGTTCATTTCCAACACACAGTAATCTAGTCATTGGGTAACTGTACACGAATAAGTCATTTTGATTAAGAAAAAAGGCCAACTTTACCTCTCTACCTTCCAACACAGTTAAAAACAAGCCAATAGTTTTCTCCTGATGGAGGTGATGGGAGAGGTTACCCATAGCCACTCAACTTTTTTAGCCTCACCTTCATTGTCCAGCTTGAATTTACTAATTTAAATAATCAAATAGTTATTGGACACTTCCCTTCTCCTGGTTATTTACATAATGAATTTTGTGTAATCCGTGTGGCTTTCTCTATTATGAATTCTGACTTTTTCCAGCCAAGATCTGTGAAGAGATTAACCATGTGATAGGACCACACCGAGTCCCAAGTGTGGATGACCGAGTCAAGATGCCCTACACAGATGCTGTAATACATGAGATACAGAGAGTGATTGCACCCCTGGGATATCCCCACAGTGTCACTCGGGACACTCATTTCCGAGGCTACTTTCTGCCCAAGGTGGAGTGCACCCTTATTAGTACCCCTGGTCCCTTCATTTGCACCCCTCTCTCCTCCTGGTTTCTTACCCCGTACTCAAACACTGATTTCTCTTAAATGCCCCCATTTCCACTCCAGGGCACTGATGTGTTTCCTGTGCTTGGCTCCGTCCTCAAAGACCCCAAATACTTCCGCTACCCAGATGCCTTCTATCCTCAACACTTCTTGGATGAAAAGGGCCACTTCAAGAAGAATGAAGCCTTTGTGCCTTTTTCTTCTGGTAGGTTCCTATGGTCTGAGTTCTCCCAGGGACATGCTTGATATTTTCCCCAAACATTGGTCTGTATTTGAGGTTCAGGTCTTAAAAGGAAGTTCAGTGCCACTGGTGGTCCATGAGGTCCGAAAGGTTGGCAACCACTCGTTTAAGGAAGCCTTTGGAGCAGTGGTTGCCAACCAGTGGTCTGTGAAGTCCAAAAGGTTAGCGACTGCCTAAACCAGTGATGGCGAACCTATGACACACGTGTCAGAGGTGACACACGAACTCATTTTTTTGGTTGATTTTTCTTTGTTAAATGGCATTTAAATATATAAAATAAATATCAAAAATATAAGTCTTTGTTTTACTATGGTTTCAAATATCAAAAAATTTCTATATGTGACACGGCACCAGAGTTAAGTTAGGGTCTTTCAAAATGCTGACACGCCGAGCTCAAAAGGTTCGCCATCACTGGCCTAAACCATAGTTGGGACCATAAAATCCTAGAATCCCAAAATCATGGAATATTACAACCATTGACTCTGATTACTAGAAAAATAAAATTACAACAGTGAAAGCATTAAGCAGGGTCAGCTAGCCTTTCCTTCACAGGAAGGACCAGATGATAAATATTTTAGGTTTTGCAGGGCATACATTCTTTGTTGTAACCCCTCATTTCTGCTACTGTAGTACAAAAGTGATGCATAGTCGACATATAAATGAAGGGAAGTGTCTCAGTTCCTTGAAGGCTTTTAAAAAAATATTTGTATTGATTTTAGAGAGGAAGAGAGAGGGAGAGAGAGAGAGAGAAACATCAATGACAAGAGAGAATCATTGATCAACTGCCTTCTTCACACAACACTCTTGCAACCCAGGCATGTGCTCTGACTGGTAATCAAACTGTGACCTCCTGGTCCATAGGTCGATGCTCAACCACTGAGCCACCCACTAAAAAAGCAAGACTTTTTTTAATGGTCATTGATATTTCAATTTAACTTTCATGTGTCATAAAAAATTTTCTTTTGATATTGCTCAACCATTTTAAAATGTCAAAAAGCATTTGTAATTTGAAGGTCGTACAAACACAAGCAGCAGTGTGAACTTTCTCCATGGGCAGCGGATTGCCCACCCTTGGCATAAATCTTATGACACTTTATGTGTAAGTTGCATGGCACCTGGAGTCAGGGCAGTGGTTAGGAAACAGGACTCCCACCACTCACTTATAAATGGTGCAGTACTTCAGCTGCCGCAAAATGGAGATTAATCTCCATTTCATTTGTAGCCCCCTTCACCAGTATCTAGCACCAGTTAGGCTTCTGATAAACATTTGAGAAATTAAAATGCACAGAATCTTCATATTCAAAGTTCCTTTACAACCATTCCATCTTGGATTATGATGCAATCCAAGCCATCAGAGAAGTAGCTGCCACATATTGAGTCACAGATCCTAGCTGAGCACTAAACTAGAACCTTGCTGAGTCTTTATAATAACCCTATGAAGTGAGTGTTATTATGACCCGAGATGCTGAGGAAGTAGTGACTGACCTTCCCTTCCTCCAATGTGCTCACAGGAAAACGCATCTGCCTGGGCGAGGCCATGGCCCGAATGGAACTCTTCCTCTACTTCACCTCTGTCCTTCAGAACTTCTCGCTCCGCCCGCTGGTGCCACCTGCTGACATCGATATCACCCCCAAGATCTCAGGCTTTGGCAACATTCCCCCAACCTATGAGCTCTGCCTGGTAGCCCGCTGAGCGCCCCCTAATGGGTGCAAAAAGAACCATGGAGAGCTCTGCCCAAGTATACAGGGGCACCCACCCCCATCTCCTTAAAATCTCTCAACAACCCTAAAAGAAGGTGCTACTGTGGTGGGGCCACAGGTCAGTGAGGGTCACTTGAAAATATAGAGCTGCTTATCTTCTAGAAAAGCCAGGCCCTGTCCAACCTTTCAGCAACAACCTGGAGAATTTGCATTCTCCTGTTCACCTCTGCCTAGGCTTTCTGTCTCCACCAAATTCTTGTTGTAGATTCTCTGCCTTTATGCTGTCCCTTTGTGTGTACACACTGATATTGAACCAAATGCAGTTCATAGTTTCTTCCTAATTATCCTCTCTCACAAAATAAAATTAAAATAGCAGGTATATCAAGGTTGTTCTGTGTAGCGGACTTACTGTGTGTTGTATGTTACATCACTGCAGGGCATAGAAAACAACTTAAGACAACCATGCAGACACACTTGTGATTTATAACCCACCAGAGATTTCCCATTGGGTGGGGCCACCCTGTGTAACACTCCATTCTCAACCATCTTTTGGCTTATTGCCCCTCCCCACATCAATTATCTCTCCTCCGAAACCTGCATTCCTAGTTTAGAAGGAATTTCTATCACAGCTTTTATTCCAAATTCTCCCCATTTTATTTGGAAGAACAGTTCAGCCATCTCTGACTTGTATTTCATTTCCAAACTCCTCAACTTGCTCAGCTTATGAAAGTCTTCTCTTATATTTTATTTTATTCAAGAAATATTTATCAAATACCCAATGTGACCAGCACACTCTTCAGGTACTTGGGATCTATCAGTGAACAAAACAGCCTAAAACCCCTGCCCTCATGGAGTTTCACTGCAGTGGGAAAGGTAGACAATTAAGAATAAACATAATGAGTAAATGATGTGGTATGCTAAAACAGCAATGATTCCAGGATTGGGACTGTAAATGGGTAATCAGGGCTGGTCTCACAAGGTAGTGGGGCAGCAACTCATACAAATATCTGGGAAGGGATGTTCCTGGCAGAGAGATTAAAATCAGCAGAGGTGGAATGCAGGAGGCTGCCTGTGGGTTTAGGATTCCTCAAGGAGACACATGTGGCTGGAGTGAGGGAGAAAGGGAAAGTATAGGAGTAAATAGGATGAGGGTACAAAGTTAAAGAGCCATATTGGGTGGAGCCTTGTGGGCCTTCCTGAGAACTTTGGCTTTTATCCTGAGATGGGAGGATCTTTGTAAACACAGGGTGGCATATGCTGACATTTTTAAAAAGGCAAGCTCTAGCTGCTGCATGGAGAATAGATTGAGGGAGAGGGTAGCAAAGATACCACTTGTGTAGGTGAGGAGAAGTGAGTGGATTTGAAATCTGTTGTGAGGACCGAGTCAACAGGGTTTACTGATGACTTGGATGTGGAGTGGAAGAAAAAGAGGGTCAGAGATAAGACACCATCTTTCAGAATCTCTCAGCCTCACACCTTCCAGGTCTATGAACCCCCATACCAGTTAGATTTATATTTTAGGGAATATGAATGGGCTTTCGCTACTTAAGTACATAAGGTTGCTGGTTATTGTAAAGTCATCAGTAAGTTCATATTGTTTTGTGAATTCTGGAAATACAGGCTCAAAATATGAGTAGGAAAAACAAGAAGCTGTGTTGGAAAACTCCAATCAAGGTCACAGCCAGACGTACTGGCTAGTCTCATTTCACCTCCTCCTCCCCCAACTCCTGCAACTCTGGGCACTGAACACCACTGCTAGGGGACTCTTGACCCACTGTTTCCACTGTGGACAACTTCATAGTTGTATTTGTGTTTTATGTTACTTTCTCAATATTCAAATTCCCAGGCAGAACTATCCAATTAATCACATATTAAGGCCTTAGGATTCAGGGTGCAGTGAGGAAGAATAAATGCCCCTTCTGTTGCTGCGGTGGGAGGCCAAGCCTTACCCCTGATCAAGAATCTCACAATAGCAGACTTCTCGAAATTGGAAGGGATGTTGAGAATGGATAGATGAGAAACAACAAATGCCATTATACACAACATGTCCACTGGGTCTTCTGGGAAGCAGAGACTGAGGTAGAGTTTGGAGGACAAGCATTTCATGGAAGGATCATGCCTGTGAAAGATGAGAGTGGGCCGAAATAGATTGAATCAGGACATCTTCAGACCAGGATGCAGCTGTAACACCCATGAAAGGAAAGAAGAGATGAAGGAAGGCTGGGCAAGGAGATACCCATATCTCCATGCAAAGTTAATAGAGCCTCATTATATCAAAAAGTACATTTAGATTGAAGATCGCTATTGGGGTGTCTCGTGTTGGGCAAGAAGTGGTCATGCCTTGGACCCCAGCTGTTCTCAGTTGCTGGCTGGGGCTTCCTAGGAAGAGCATGGGTTCTGAACCATCCAGAAGGTGCTACAGCTGCAGGCTGTCCGTTCAGGGCACTCCTTACAGCTGAATGGCCAGTTCCTTACTGAAGGGAGAGCTGAGTGTCACATCTTCGTGCCTGCCGCAGACACAAACATACAAATACACATCATTTAAATCTGGGTGTTCTCTCCATAAACAGTTTTCAAACCTACTGACACAAGTGCAAGTATATGGTACAACAGTTTTCACACATTATTAGCTGTAAAAATCTTTTCTCAAATTTTCCTATGTGCAAGACTAATACATGAAGTAGAAAAGAGAATTGCTCATCTCTCTCTCTAGGTAAAGCACAGAAGCGCTCTAGACCCTCAAAGACGCTTCACTTTCACTCATGAGGAAAATCTCTGGCCATGCAACACACATGCCTGTCCTCAGTCCTGCACACACAACAGGGACCTGATGACACAAAGAGGACCAGAGTAGAACCAATCACTGATCACAGAGGGCTCTCATCCCAACCCCTTCATTACAGGTATCCAGGAAAACCAATAATAAATGGATTTCTTGTAACAAAGGCAAAGACCAGATTTACATAAGAGAAAGACAGTAAAGGCAGAGAGAAAAAAACACAATTTGGGGTCTATGAACTTAGTTTCCTTATCTTGAGTGGGCTGCTGATGAGCTGGCAGATATTAGAGACTGGTTAGTGTTCTGCCCTTGGACAGTTGGATGGACCATCAATAAAAACAAACTGAATTCTTTATGGATTACCCAGAACATCTTTTAATTTATTTTTAATATATTATTAGTAATTTCAGACGGAAGGGAGAGAGAGAGATAGCAACATCAATAATGAGAGAGAATGGCTGCCTCCTGCACACCCTCCACTGAGGATCAAGCCGGCTACCCGGGTATGTGCCCTGACCGGGAATTGAACCAGGGCATGACCTCCTGGTTCATAGGTTGATGCTCAACCACTGAGCCACATGGACCAGATGAACATCTTTTAACTGTGAAGTGTATGCAAGGTTCTCTGTATATAATAGCTGTCTCATGCAGTGATTCTCAACCTGTGGGTCGCAATCCCTTTGGCAGTCAAACGACCCTTTCACAGGGGTCGCCTAAGACCATCCTGCATATCAGATATTTACATTATGATTCGTAACAATAGCAACATTGCAATTATGAAAGAGCAATGAAAATAATTTTATGGTTGGGTCACAACATGAGGAACTGTATTTAAAGGGCCTGAAGGTTGAGAACCACTGCCTTAGAGGCTTCAGCATTCCCCTTATCAGGATTTCTCACTGCTCCCCCCACAAGACATACATATTGTCATTCTTTTCTAATTTTGTGAGTTCAATGAGCAAAAAGAGTGATACACTGCCCAGGGTGGGTGACTCAGTCAAAGTGTTGTCCCACCAAAAGGTAGTGGATTTGATTCCCAGTCAGGGTTTCTGGTGCAATCCCCAGTTAGGGTGTGTATGGGAAGCTGCCAATGTATCTCTCTCTCTCTCTCTCTCTCTCTCTCTCTCTCTCTCTCTGTCCCTCTGTGTCTCTCTGAAATCAAATTTTTTAAAAAGAAAGAAAGATGATATACTACGGTGTACATTTTTATTGCTTTGATTAGTACTGAGAGGACACACGTGTTTATCCTTTGCATTTCTACTTTTATTAATTGTTGATCACCTCCTTGGTCCATGTACCTACTTTACATTCAGCATTTTTCTCATTGCTTCTATAATACAATGAAGATGCTTACCCTTATTTTGTGTATTGAGTAAAGATTTTCTCATGATGTGTTTGGTTTAGAATTTGGATTTTTTAAACATGAAATTAATTCATATGAAGTAAAAATCTTTCTAATCTTTCTTTTATAAGTTGTCCAATTATCTCTAGTTATAGAAACAATCTTCTCTGTACATACCTTTTTACCCAATAATTGCACTTCAAAAAAATGTGCAAAGATCAAAACACAAGGATATTCGTTTCAACAATGCTTATAAAGGTAAAGTAAATAATCATATGCCCATTTCTAGCAGAACAGCATGCATAGGTTATCAGTCCCAGGGAAGGACTTCACCTATCTGGATGACCGCAAAGACCATCACTGTAACAACCCCAGGAGTAGAAGGCCAAATACTTCTAGCCATTGTGTCTTGGTTTCAGAGTCACCAAGGAAAACACAGTCTAGTCAAGCACTGGATGAAGCAACACTTTACTTACACAGACAAGAGGCAGGTCAAGATCAACTTCAGAAATGCCCATTGTCCCCAATGGACAGCAGGTGTCTCCTAGTAGCCAATGCAGGGCAATTCACCTATGGTTTACATCTCTTGTTGACACACATTGGAAAGACCACATATGGAAAGACCACATTCCCTCCCCATGGGAACAGCTACAGCAGTGGGGTTTGCCAGGCACCATATGATAAACATCCTCAAGCAGAACAAAGGTGTGCTCAAAAGGTATGTTGAGCTTAAACAGCAAAAGTTATTCCTATCCAAGATTAGAAGCCCAACACAAGCTTTGTGTGACAGAAGAATCCATCTTTCTTACCAAGCTGTAAATAAATTGGTACTTTTACTTCAATAAAAAAATAAACTCAGAACTTGAGAAAGACATTACTAAAAAATGTTTCAGTGAAGTCTCCTTGATTTTCTACTTAGTATAATATCAAGTAAAATTGTATGTTAACTGCACAATTTTCTTAGTTCTCTGCTGCTGGGTTTTCCCTTGGTCTCAAGGATCTGAGCACTGGAGGGTCCCTCCCAGTATAAGAGGGGTATGCAAAACAGATTCCTCATTAAAGTATGATGATGACCACTCCACTGCTCACAACGGACAAGTTATCAAGAGTCTCTTTTTAACCACTGAAATAAGTGACTTCAGTGACCCTTAATTACAAATTTTCCTTCCTCATTTTGGTTGAGGGAGGAGGATAGTAGTATAGACACGCTGGAAAAGAGTTTGGCAGATTCTTATAAAGTTAAACATACACTTATCAAATGACCCAGCAATCCCCCTGGTAAGTATTTACACAAGACAAATGAAAACACCTCTTGAAAGAAATTCTGAAAGATGGTCATATAGGAGTTTCTAGTACTTATCCCCTCCCAGAAATATCAAATTGAAAAACTAACCATACACAAAAACCAGTATACTGATGTTTATAGCAACTTTATTTTTTAATTTAATTTTAGAGAGAGAGGAATAGAGAGGGAGAAAGAGAGAGAAACATCAATATGAGAGCAAAACATCAAACAGTTGACTCCTGCACACCCCCTACTGGTGATCAACCCAGCAATCTGGGCATGTGTCCTTATTAGGAATTGAACCAGCAACCTTTCAGTACATGGATAGCGCTCAATCCACTCCAGCCAGGGTGCAACTTTATTTTTAATTACCAAAAACCGTACCCAATCCAAATGTCCTTCAATTGGTGAATGGACTTCAATATATCTATATAGTAGAATACTACTCAGCAATAAAAAAGAAATGAAGTACTGATACATGTTATGAAATGGATACAGTATGCTATGTGAAAAAATCCAGACTCAAAAGCTTCATACAATATTCTTTCACTATATAAAATTATAGAGAAGGAAAAATAATAGGAGCCAAAAATGGATGTGTGGTTGCCTGGGATTGGGAGTAAGAAGAGAATTTGACTACAAAGGGTGTGGAAGACAGAATTTTGGGGAGTGATATAACTGCTGTCTATCTTGATTGTGATGGTAATTACATGGCTTTATGCATTTGCCAAAACTCATAAAACTGCATGCCAAAAAATGGATTTCCCTATATGTAAATTTTAAAAAAAATTACA